ACTAGGAGCAGACCCCGACGCAACTGAAAGAATCGAGTGTTGTGATCTGACCTGTGACCTTGTTGTGATCCAGAGGAGGCCCCCAGTAGCTTAGGGGTCATTCGTACACCCGTGTTAAATGACTTTCTCAGTGGGCAATTTGAGCACTGATCCTGTCCTGAAATCGGGCAATCTAATGTATGCTTGACCATTTCTCGACATTCGCAAAAGATGATTCACGTGTGTTTTAGAGCAGAAAAAAACAAAAAATTGGCCATTGCGCTTTCATCAACTACTGAAATCGTCAGTGTTGCCAGGAAATATAAATACGCATAATCAAGCAACACACATTGAAAAGCAGTTGCGAACATAACCGGCACCACAACCCTTGGTGGGGTTGTTGAGCCTGAGCGGCCTCTTTACGGTGGAGGTCTACGACGAACACTGACCTGCCCACCCTCTGCCAATTCTCTCCTTTCTCAGATAGTGGGCTAGTGCCAGCGGCCTTCTTCATCCTCCGATACTAAGACAGCGTTGGTTTTCTTCTTCGTCTCCGAAAATACCCCCAAAATTGTTATTCATTCCTAGCACAATAAATTCGTCTCTACCCTGCCCGCCATTTTCCACCAGTGTAGAAGTGTGGAGGGTCTCCGCCAGCAGTGGGATGGCATCACAAGTCTCCTGCGCCAACCAACAACCGGGTGGTGTCCTTTGTCCCTCCCGCTCCGCTTCAGTCAGTCAGCGTCAGTAATCTCTGAACAGACGCATTCGAGTGGTGTCCGTCTCCACCAAAAGTGGGTACCGTTTAACTACCTTCTACATCCTCTCCAGTTCAGCATGTTGGACGTCCACCGCCACTGCAATGGCAGTTGTCTCCGCCATACCCCTTCGGTCAGACAGTGTCAGTTGTCTCTTATGCCCTTCCAATCAGGCAGCATCAGTTGTCTCTGCCGTCCCTCCAATATGACAGTGTCAATTGTCTCTGCCGCCCCATAAAGACAGACGTTGTCAGTTGTCTCCGCCGTCCTCCCTTCTTAAATCATGTGGTGTCAGTTGCCTCCGCCTCCCTTCCCAGTCAGGCGGTGTCAGTTGTCTCCGCCGCCCCCTCCAATCTGACAGTGCTAATTGTCTTTGCTGCCCCATCGAAACAGACATCAGTTGTCTCCGCCGTCCTCCCTTCTTAAATCGTGTGGTGTCAGTTGCCTCCGCCTCTCTTCTCAGTCAGGCGGTGTCAGTTGTCTCCGCCGCCTCCTCCAATCTGACAGTGTCAATTGCCTTCGCTGCCCCATCCAAACAGACATCAGTTGTCTCCGCCGCCCTCCCTTCCCAAATCGTACGGTGTCAGTTGTCTCCGCTACCCTTTCTCAGCCAGGCAGTGTCAGTCATCTCCGCCGCCCCACCAGTCAGGCAATGTCAGCTGTCTCCGCCGTCTCCCGACAGCGCGCGGCGTCTCCCGACGGCGCCGGTCCGGCACGGCAAAGGTGGCGGCGGCCTCAGCTCCGACTTATTGATTTGACGGCGGCGGCGGCGGGCGGCGGCGGCGGGCGGCGGGCGGCGGGCGGCCGACGGCCGGCCGGCCAGCCGCCGCCGCCGCCAGCCAATATATATGTATCAGGGCTAGCCGTGTCGGTCGAGAGGAGGCGCCGGGCAGAGGGCCGCCCAGCAGGCCGCAGCGAGGGTTTGCGGGGGGCGCACGCCGCCAACCGGCGACGCCCGTCCCGGGAGGAGAGCACGCGGAGGGACACACGTCCGGGAGATGGACGGACGACGATCTGTGTGGAGTTGCAGGCTTGGAGCGGAACGGTCCCGGAGGAGAGGAGCGTGATCAGACTGCGTGGTATTTTGGAGGGGTGAGAGTGGTTCCGGGGACGGGGCATTTGGTACAGCTTTTGAGAGTTTGCAACTGCACCTGCATTCTCGAGCTGGATCATCACCCAGCCATTTCAACTCAAGCAAGAATATATCGCATCATTATACGCAACACAACTTTGGTGCAAAGCGATGCCAGTCCACATTTTCGACTTGTCTGACGTCAGAACGTCATGAAGTAGCCCTCAACAAGTGCTAGCCATAGCCAATGAAGTCGGCCAGCTTGCGTAAGCCTTCCCTCGGTGGCTCGAGTGCTGACTTGTTTGACGCTCATCCCGACAGTACTTCCCTACCGAGCGGACATTCCCGTACGAAGTCCCGCGACACGCGCGCGCCTCTCAACAGCAGCGGCCACCTCGCGCACACTACCTGAGAGGCGGACCCGGGCGCCGCCGGCTCCAACTCGTCTCAGAGCAGGCTCGTGATGACCCGGCGCCGGACGCCCTCTGACCGACAATCGCCGGCGGGTCGCACCGTCCGCGGCAATGGCCGCTGATTCGGCCAATCAGCCGGCCAACGACGGCCGTAATTGCGTTTCTGGCCGTCTCCTGGCCGCGTCCGCCGGGGTCGCCGCGTCACCGCCGGCCCGAGGCACGGGTGGGGCGCTGACTGTCGCCGCCCCGACAGCCGCCGTCGTGCAGTGGGGCGCTGTGGCTGCGCGGTCGGACAGCGCCGGCGACAAACCGTCGAGTTGTGTGCCGCAGAAATCCCCTGAGCCAGCATCGGCGTGCCTGTCAATGTCGCTGTGGTGGCGCAGTCCGGACAGCTCCGCATGATACTCGTGAAACACCGATGGTAGACGCTGGGATCGACTGAGTCACCTTTTGATCCGCTCCGCAGCGACCCCACGCCTCGGCCTCCACACAGGCCGGCCTGCAGTCTGCGTCGCGCGCGCTGATTGTATTTTCCGCGCCATTTCGCCTCTGTGGAGCCGGATTATGGCGCCAGTCGATAGTCGGTTGGTGGCGGCCCGCTGAAGATGTCAGGTGCCATCGGAAGGCGACCGACGCCGCCCGTAGCATCAACTTCTCCCCAGATCGGCGCCGGCTGATGTCTGTCTCCATCATATCTCTGCTGATGTCTCACCCGTATCTAAGAGCTCATCACCTTGAGAGCCAAGTGTGAGTCTTGAGAGAAATTGTATGCATTACATTGACGTGAAATTTAACTGTTTGAAAAACATAAGGCTGCACACCATAGCTGTCTAAAGCTGTCCGCAAGCGTAAAATTTTGAACTTTTCTTGAATGGTTTTGCTAATTGAAGCAGGCGTAATGATAAATCACGATAAGTTTTAGCAACGCGGCGCCCATCGTTATGACGGCACATTTAAGTGTTTGGGAACCAATGGAAAGTCCGGGAACTAGATCCATGTTTGCTAACTGGTGAGTTACATTCTAGTGAGTTACAGTGACGGCTGTACTTAAAGCAACAGTTATGGCTACAGTGACAGTTAATGTTAACGTGACAGTTGCAATCACAGCGGTAGATGTTATATTGACAGCTGCAATTACAGTGACAGCTTTAGTTACAGTGGCAGTTACAGTTACAGTGACAGTCATAATTACAATAACAGTTATAGTTACATTGGCAGTTATAGTTACAGTGGCAGTTGTAGTTACAGTGACAGTTACAGTAACAGTGAAAGCCGCCCTGGAAATGAAAGCCACGAACTGACGCTGTTAAGCTTAGCATTTGGAACGCCATGACATTCGCGGAAAGATTATTGGAGGTACGCTATAGAGGTCCCTGATTCGTTGTTATACGGTAAATGCGGTGTGGCTTCAAATAATTGTCTCTGAAGAGCATTTGATCCCATTCTAGGTGACAATGAATGCATGCCTATGCAGGCCCTACGTGCAATGACTGCGTTATCCAGCGACAACTGATGATGCAGTTTCAAAGGCCGACAATTTGCCTAGCATGGTGACAATCATACGTGGATCTCTCGCTATCAATTTCGTCACATTTGACCTGGAATGAATCAGACCTTTCTCTAGGTATGACGAGCTCAAGCATACTTATCACTGCGTGTATCAACAGCACCATAAATGCCCCAAACAATGATTCGTTCCCCTAGTTCTTTATGTTGCTACGCGTAATTACAAAGGAATCTGAACGCTATATTTTGCATGCTATAGTATTTCAGTCGGAATTTATTGTTTGGCAATAGTTGCACTGCACGGGAGTTTATGCTAATCGTGCATAGAATATTTCACGGAAGTTTACTTGAGGGAATTTCTAAATGTATTGATCTTGATAACGGCCGAGACCGCAGCGTTCTGCTCTAAATTTGGAAGATGAAGATACATGATCGGGCTCGGTAAGGCAGAGTAATAGACTGAACGTCATGGCGCACCACCGAAGAGAAATGGACGGGAAAGACGTCAAAGCGCTTCCATCGCGTAATGAACTGTCAGCACAAACTAGCGGGGTTAGACCCACACAACTTTCTGTGGGTGTCACGGTATTAATATGGTGGCAAGTCGAACAGCATTTGCCCTCAAATACGAATACCGGGATTGGACAGGTACGGGTGTGGGGTCCGGACGGACGGGTACGGGATCCGGACGGATACGGGTACGGGGTCCGAACGGACGGGTGCGGGGTCCGGGCGGACGGGTACGGGGTCCGGACGGGTACGGGTACGGGCTCCGAACGGACGGGTACGGGGTCCGGGCGGACGGGAATGGGGTCCGGGCGGACGGGTACGGGGTCCGGACGGACGGGGACGGGGTCCGGACGGACGGATACAGGATCCGAGCGGACGGGTACGGGGATCGGGTGGATGGGTACGGGGATCGGGCGGACGGGTACGGGGTCCGGGCGGATGGGTACGGGGATTGGGCGGACAGGGTACGGGGTCCGGGTGGACGAGTGCGGGGTCAGGACGGACGGGTACGGGGTCTGGGTGGACAGGTTCGGGGTCTGTGCGGACGGGTACTGGGTCTGGGCGGACGGGTACGGGGTCCGGACGGACGGGTGCGGGTTTCGGACGGAATATGGCTCGTCCATTCTTGACCAGCCGTCTTTGACCAACGGGTTCGATGGGACAACGGCAATGGGCCGCCTTCTTTTCGGACGCTGCTGCACTGTTCACACCTGAAAAACAACCGGTCTGAACGCGGTTTGAAGCCCGCCAAGGACTACTCACTCGCTCCTGATAGCCATGAAGATCTGGTGGTCCAGGTACGTCATCTGCTCCGCAATGTCCAGAGCAGACAAGGTGTCTATGCTTTCCATGCTGGGCGTCTGGGAACGGAGGCCAGCGGCTAGCTGAAGTTGAGCTTCGGCACGAAACAGCTCCCTTTGTCTCAGCATGAAGATAAGGAAACACATGACAAGCTCTACGCGTGGTATACACATGTTGCGCATTGCCCTGATTAGCTGAAGCTTGGCAAAGGCTTTCAGACTCAGCGCATGATCGTAAGCGTGGTGGGAACATTGTTCTTTCGCGCACACGTATCACTGTCCGCTATAATAACGTGGCTTATGAGGTGCTGATATTGAATGTTCAATCACGTGATTGCCAAAATTATCCAATACAACATGGAATCTGGCCGTCGCTTGCTGCCGTCATGTGAAAATATGACGTAACGTGAAAAGGTACGTCGGCGAACGCCAGTCAATGCTCCGCTCTGGCAGGGCGTCGTACCAGCGGCGGCGCCAGCAGGCTGTCCAAGGTGACGCGGTTTCTGGCCGGCTCCTCCCTCGTGATCATGTGGTACAGCTGGCTGGCCGCCTTGTGTTCGGTCGGCAGTATCGTCCGCGAGCTCATCACGTCCTCCAGGAACTCGATCGTCAGGTTCTTCAGCTGGTTGTCGCTCTCAAAGTCCTGCAGTGCAGAAGTGCACAACATTTATCGATGTTGGCGCTTGAAAAGTCGCATGATTCGTCCCCCATTTACCTTGGATGACCGAGCTTGTTTCATGCATATTGTAAGCGTCGATGTAAATAAATGAAATGTCTGCAGATCTGCCACTCACTTGACACTCGAAACGTGGCCATGAGGCTTCACGAGAAAACAACCCTAAATTCAAAATCCTTGTTGGAGTCCAACAATAAATCGAATGCACGATCGCCGTTAATCTGAAAAACTTCCTGGCCCGAGATATTGTAAAACTTCTTTTGATCTCTGGTAGTGTGCGAGTGTGTTATGAAGTGATGTAATATGGTAACACAGACCAATAAACTTGTTCTGAGGGCGGGCGGGTCGGTCTGCCATTGCATACGTCTCAGTACAGGAATCAAAAGAGAGTCTCGTTTCTGTGAGGGCGTCAAGAGTTGTCAGAAGAACGGACTCCCAACCAAACAGTGCCGGAAATCCTGCGCCAACCACTCGTCGGCCGAAATATCTGAATATCTGACTTAGCACACTCCAGCCATTAAGCCTCACAGTCCACGTCATCTCAGTGACCAAAGAAGCTCGCAACGGCGTCGCACCAGCCCTGCCACGCCGCCGCACACATCTTCAGCGGACAGCAGCGGGCCCCAGGAGCGTACAGTCAGCTCGCCCACCTGGAAGTGCTTGGAGCCCCAGTGTCGGAGCACGTTGAGCACGCGCATGGTGGCCGCCGTGGAGACAATGCTCTCCTGGCGCTTGCAGCTCTGGCGCCGCTCGGCCGCCGTCCACGGCTGCTGACTGGGCGCCGGGTGGTCGCGCGGATTGGAGGAGCCGGCCGTCGCGATGGCGAAGGCCGAGGCGGCGGAGCTGCTGCTGCTCCTGCGGTGCGCCGGTGGCGACCGTCACGACGCTGCACGGCTGCTCGCTCCCGTGCGTTAGGCACACAACGGTCCGTAGTCCGCATGGTTATGCGGCGGGGCGCTCCGAAATCGCTGCTCCTTAATCAGAGACACGCGGTGTGAATTGCTCTGAAATGCGTGCACCTACCATTCGCCCTGATTTACACTGATACACATACGTGGATCCCATCTGTTCACGACCTCATCTGCATCAAGAACAATTTCCGGTCGTCGTCAAATGTCGTATCGATCGCGAGGCACGGCAGACGCGAGGCCAGACACGTCGCTTGCACCGTCCAACGCGTCACCTATACTGCACAGGCAGCGCCACCTACCGCCGCTGGCTCTGACGGGACGAGGTGACTACGACGCCGGCCCTTGGGATGCTTTGCGGGCTGTCGGGCGGGTACTGGAAGCTGGTGCGCGGCGTGTGGTAGGCGCTGTCCGAGCGTCCCACCATCGGCGGCGCGCTGTTCGTGCTCAGGCGCTTGTGACCCGCCTTTGGCAACAGCTGGCGGCGAGGAAATGACCGCGACCACAGTCAGATAAAGTCGCACGCCCATTGGAGAGACGCACAGCGCGACCAAAAAGACCCCAGCAAAGCCTGATTACGAGCTGTCCCTGGGAAGTGCGGCGAAAGGTGCAGCCTCGCGGCGTGCTGAGCGCGTCTCTGAACGTGGAGATTCCCAGCGGAAAAGCCTGATCTCGGCCAGGTAAGCCACTCACGAGCTGTCCCTCGGAGGTGCGGCTGAACGTGGAGCCTCGCGGCGTGCTGAGCGCGTCTCGGAACATGGAGATTCCTAGCGGAAAAGCCTGATCTCGGCCAGGTAAGCCACTCACGAGCTGTCCCTCGGAGGTGCGGCTGAACGTGGAGCCTCGCGGCGTGCTGAGCGCGTCTCCGAACTCAGAGATGCCCCGCGGGATTGACATGGTATCGCTGAATGCCGAGCCACGCGGGATCGATAGCGTGTCACTGAAAGCAGGGGCAGGGGCGCGTGCTCTGGTGAGCATGTTACGTAGACAGGTGGGAGCACGGCCCAAGCCATTTACCCTACAAGGAGGGCTCACCCGAGAGTCTCTGGGTGTCGGTATGCGGACATTCTTCCTACGTACGTGTCCCATGGACGAATATTCAGCACGTTACTGATAAATCAGATTCTTAACACCCCTGCTTCGAACATGTAATAAGCCGATAGGTTCAAAAAGCAAGAGTACTGCCCTCATCTCGTTAGAAAGCAATTAGTTGCTTGCAATGAGGGTAATGAAGCAAATACTGCGTAAAATCCAGGATCCATTGATGTCGTATTTTACGAAATACTTTGAAGTCAGAGCGTGAAAATAAGATGACGGAGATCGTGGAGGGATGTAGACAAGCTTATCGTCAGCTATGGGGAATTTCGGCATTTTAAATCATCATCCCAGATTGATTACAATGCCACGAGAATCAGCCATCGGCATTGCAAGGGACATCTTCAACACATACAAACTAGGTGGTAGTTCGCAAACACAAACACGGCAAATATCGACTGATGTGCCGGGCCTGAACCACTTCCACCATAAGTAAGGCCTTAAATCGACGGCCAGTTAAGACGGTGTGCATTATTTCTACTCCGACTGTTTGTAAATTAGCCACGTGAGGCTAAGCGAGGGTGGCACCCTTGGGCGGCCGGATGGTTACAGTATTTATTCAAGATCAAGAGGTCCAAGTTCGACTACTGGCGCAGGGGAACCTGCACTGGTCAAGTTTAGACGTGCGGTGCCACCAATAATCTTAGCAGTGGTATGCGTCGACAATAACCCAGCGATGAACTAGCTGCATCCGGCAGATAGCGCCTTACAACACTGCCCTCTAACATCGGTAACTGATGCAATATACGCGACGCTTATAGTTACAGCACCAGTGAACGACACCTGAAGGCGCCGGTAGGTCAGCACCTTAGCTATGCGTCTGGGAAACCAGAGGTACGGATTTGATTCCACGCGGTGTCCGTCCTCCCTGCAGGGTGAGACGCAAGCGACGCAGCATGGTCCCAACGGCTGAGGGCGTCGTGGAACCATAGCCACACACGTCCACCACCATCTGAACAGTTGCGTAACACGGCGAAACGGAATCTATTAGCTGTTACCTGCTCACGACTCGTACCTGTAGCCGGAGGTGCGGGGATGCTGAAGGCGTCGCTGCAGCTGAGCGAGGTGCTGCCCCGCGACGCGAAGGAGGGGAACGAGCGGTCCATCCACGGCTCCTCCGCCTCCAGCACGATGCTCTCCGATTTCTGGTACAGTTTCTGTCGAATTAGTACGGCGCACTCACTAAACAAGGGCGGTCCGCAGCTATGCGTGGTCATCATGTCAGAGGTGCGCCAAACCGGCGACGAGGGTGGCCGAAAGAGTGCATGCTCAAGCAGGATGCGCAGCGCCACTGCGTGTTCTGCAGCAGAATCGCAGCAGCAAGAAATTGATGAAATTTCCAGCAAAGCGGGGAGGTCTCAAGGAATGGGAAGACATGACAGCCACACATAAGCTTCTGCCCATTGTTTAGAACAGAAAAGCATAAGCTGAATAATTGCTTCGCCTCTGCATTGAAGCGTCGTGCAAAGTGCATTAAAACGGAGCTTGCACGTAGCACCGAGGTTCGCACCAAGCCGAAAGCAGGATGTGATTACCAACATATTCAAAACTCGACATACATTACGGCTAACTCACCCGCTTTCTCCTGGTCTCGCTGGCAATTTCAGCTTCCGTCTTGGGCTTGTGCTCGTCGGGCTTTTGCTCTTCGGCTCCATCTCCCTCGGAACGCTCGCCCTCGGGCACCGTGTCCTCCTCCTCACCCTCCTCCTCCTCTCGGATGACGTCAGTTCTCTCTCGCAGCAGCACAACCGTCTCCTGAATGGTTACGTTGAGTCTCAGCAGGATGTCTAGCAGGAGGCCAGCTAATTCA